CCCCCCCCCCAACCCGAAAAAACCAGACCACATGTTACGGGCGGGGCTAACCCCCCCCGTTGACCCAACATGTTGCAGGAAACTCATACCAGCACCTTCAAAGGGGTCACCTGGCTGGAAGCCCCTACACTACCATCCCGGGATCTCCATTGGACACCCCTTTGAAGGTCCAGGTAGGTTGGTGATTCACATTGGTTGAACGAATGGGTCCTAGGGAGAGGATTCCCATGGACCACTGACTGCGGGTGTTTCATACCTGGATCTTCCAACGGCCTTTTCCATCTATCAAACCAGCCAAGCTCGGCAAACATGTTGCATAGTTGGAAGATCCAGGTACGGTCTGTTTGTTGATGTTTGGTCAGGTTTTGTTGATCTTTCCTCTTGCAATGACGTCTTTGGCCGTGTGGGTGACTGGGCCAACAAGGGCCCCCCAAGAAGCACATGTTCCAATGATGTCCGACCGGAAGAGGGTCGATGCCAGGTGCATTGTTACCAATCCGAGTCCAGGCCCTCCACAGCAGGGCTTCTCCACCGAAACTCCACCGAGTTCCGAAACGGGCGAAAGGTCCGGACCCGGAGTTCCCAAACCCTATGTGTTGCGGAGTCTTGGCCCGGATTCTGAGGGGTATCAATCAAGGCCATAAACCTACCAAGGCCACTACCAAGGCCATCTACCAGCACCGGCCATCTGCCTGCCAGGTCACCACCTGCCACGTTTAAGTCTCCAAAACGCCCACTTTTGAGTCTAGGAGACCTGTAGAGTCAGGTGCTGATATGATGATCCATGATTCGCCGTTCCCCTTCCGTTCAAGGATATTTTGCATGGTTAACCTGGTCAACCTGTTTTTGTGGGATAGAACCGAACATCTTCCCCAGAATGAGCCAGTGCTAGAAAATGCAGGGCATTGTGGACCCACTGAAAACCTTTGTCCCATCATGATAGACGGCCTGCAGACGGCACTTCAGGGCCATTCTCCGACCTCAAGGAATATCTGCGACAAAAGAAATGAATCGTTCATGGTGGATGAGATCATAAACCTGGGATTCTGATGGGTACTATGTCAAGTACTATGTCAATATGCTTCATCCACAAAAAGGAATCGTTCACTCCACCCACCGGACCGCGTGCCGTGCCCAGGGGCGATTGATGCAGTGTGGGAGGCCATAGCCATCGTAAATCGGGACCTTGGGGCCGACCCACGTCTCGACCGAAGGATCGAGCGACCCACGGGAGTGAAGGTGGACGTAGGACGTAGGACGAAGTCTGGTTTTGAGGGTCAAGAGACGTTGTTTCCTCCAGCTCGGGCGAGAGTTCGTCTGAAGTCTGTTTGATCCATCCTTTCTTGTTCACCACCGCCTCGTGAAAAAAAAAAGGAAACAACTCCAACCATCGACTTGCCTGTTACTTTGCTCACTTTCCACCCTAAGAATCCGAGTCCAGGCCCAAACCCAAGGTGTTTACCGCACGGGCCCGGAGTCGACCTGGCATGAACCTGCATTGACCTGGGGTGAACGACCTGATGTTTTACAGGTCGATCAGCGTCGCAGGTCGACACGACGCGACCGAAGCCCAGTCCCGCTGCTGGTCAGAAGTCCCCCTATCACTACAGGCACGGGATCTAAGGGCACGCCGATCCAGGGCACGTTCTCCAAACGTTTTCCAGTGCCAAACAGAGACAGTTCTGGATGGAACTCCCCAGTGCTGGCGCCACTTCCTATGTATATATAAAGGATCTCAAGCTGGTGCCATGCCAAGCGGTGTCTGATAAGAGTTGCTCCTTCATTTTAAATGATGAAGGGGTGTCCGGGTGTCCAAAAATGAACTCTTCCTGGTTAGGACGGTTAGGACTGGCTTTCTCCCACGCACACGGAGAAAGGGCAGTGCGAACCTCTGCCGAGCGACGCAGTGCGTCACGCCTTCGCCACTGTCCAAGACGAGGCCGGTGGTGCGTCCCTGGCCCAGCAAGGCCAAGACGCCCTGCGTGCGACGGTCGACCGACGTACGAGGAGCACCAGAAAAACCCCGCCCGGACACACGGCGCGCGGACACACGGCGGGGTGGCCGGGTGCAAGCCATGAAAGGTGCATAGACAGAACGGGCAGAGTCGGATCATGATTCCAAGTACATTCTCAAGTTGATGTTGAGGGTCTACTCCCAGCACCTCAAATCCTCAGCAAGTGAGGATTTGATGATCAACGGGCATCAGTTGCACCCTTGAACCGACCGAAACGACCTTCGGAGGGCATCAAGAGAAGCTATCGACCATGGCAAAAGTGACAGAAGTCGTACATTTCAACTCAGTTGGAAGTGGAGTCCCTGTTTTGTAAAGGAAAGCAGTCTTCCTTTCGTGGCCATGCTATCCATGTAGCCATTGGTTTTGTGTTCATCCGAGTGCAGACTGTTTCCATGTCGGGAGAGCAAACTAGGAGGGGAAGACGACTGTTTGAGTCCCCTGGAGGTGCGGGCGGTTTGCTTGGTCTCCTTTGTTTGGGGTTGAGGTCGGTGACCCCGATCTCCCTCATCGCCCGATGGACAGAAGGAAGAAATCCGGTTCGAGTTCTGAAAGAATGCACCCAGTCCATTCAAGAAAACAGTCTGAGTCTGTTGGAGCAATGTATTTAAATGATATCGGATGCAGCCCAGCTTTTCTGTGCAGTGGAATAGAAATGGACCCTCCTGGTGACAAGAGGTGTTTCCACCTGTCAGGGTCCAAACACCTGGGCCAGGAGGGTGCTGCCTATGGCATGGCATGGCTTCGGGGGTGCGGCCTGGATCGAGATGTTCAACGAAGGCACCTCAGAAGCGAATGGAGCACGAAGATGTCCCTGTACAAGCCCCTAGCTAGCAGCTAGCTCCCTGGCTCCCCCAGTCACCAGAAACAGTTCTAGGTGTTCCTGGATCGGTCCTGAATGATCCAGAAGATCCCAGACCGCCCCAGGTCTACAATCCCAATGTAATTCTGAAGATTCTCAAGAATCGATACGATTTCCTCTGTGGCTGTAGTCCAGCTAGGACACCCAGACAGCACAAACAGGATGGTCCTCCTTTTGCCTAGGCATCCACATACCCTCTGAGAAGGTGATTGGAGACACTGCTCTGTAGGTTTGGAGGGTCCAGTCGTACTGAACCTGAGAAGGTACGACAGGATCCCTATATGGCAATGGAGATCCTTTCCATATAGGAATGTGGCTGTTTTCGCGACTTCACCGAAACGGCTCCGAGAAAGGGGCTTCACCGACGCGGATGGTGAAAGCGGAGCACAAAACTTGGTCCGTCTTCACCCGGAACTCTGGCTTGGTCATGTGGGTGTGTCGTGGTTCAATGGTGGCTTCGCCACCGCCTTGGACACGGAGACCGCTTTAAGACCAGAAAAATGGCTGTTCCAATTGATTTGAAGCTGTGATACAAACTGTTGCAACTGCGTCAGTTCGGGGTCGCCAATGGACAACCCTATACACAAGGCCTCCAAACTGGAGTGTCCACAGGTCTGCTGTGAAACAAATTTCAGACACCACTGCCTCGTCATGATGCAAACCTGGACCTTCTGAACAGGAGAATCAGGTCCGAATCAACAGCAGGTCTTGGTCTGATAATTTGTCATCGGTCCCAAAGGCTTAAAAACCCGGTCTTCGTCACTCAAATCGGAATCTGGAGGGTCGCCCCGGGGTCCATCACCTGGAAAGTCCGAGCCTGACCCTGCCTGACCCCGGTATATGGGATGTCATGCAACTTCTTGGGTCTAAGTCTCATCTTAACTGGTCTTCTTTCTTGTTTCTCCGTTCGCTCCTCCGCGTTCCGTCTTTTGCGTCCTGACCGAGCGAACCGCCGCGGAACCGTCCTCCGTGACCGCCGCTCATAAGCCGCTCTCGCCCAGGCACACCGAAGGTCTCGAACATCACCTGAGCACCGTGTGGGTCTCGACCGAGTGACGAACGGCGCGCGCGCCAGGCCCGGCTGCGTGCCTGAAATAAACGGTTGATTGGCGCAGTTGGATGGTAGAGTCATCTCAGATGACATGTCATCTCAGCAGACGAAGAACTTAAACATGGATTCAAAAAGAGAAAGGATTCTCCCGTGTTGCGATTGCGAAGAACACACTTCTATAAGCCACTTCAGGCGTGTTTCAACGGGCGTTTCGGCGAGAAATCCAGCGCCGACACAGATTGCACAGGCGGTGGAAATCAATCCAGCGGCCTCCACCATCTTCTCCCGCTTGGCCGTGGGGTTGTAGGGAGGCTCCGTGAGGAGCACAGGAAAGCGCTCTTGGTCCACCTGCGAAACGCGAGCTCGCGAGCTGCACGCTGCGTGGTGTTGTTGTGTTGTGTCCCCAGAGTCGGTCGGAATGGAATCGAAAGACCATGGTGATAACCTGTCTATATGTGTTCCTGTCAGATTCCCAGACACTGTCCGTCTATTGTCAGTTCTGGGAAGATAAAAATCATGATCAAAACCGTCCAAACGGAAGTTCTGGGAAGGAAAAACACACGCGAAATCTTCAAGGATTGCTCGATGTCAAGATTCCGATTGAAGCGCTTTTTGGCGACACGTTTGAGCACGCCTTCTTTGACGGTCACCCGTCGGCATCCAAGGACCCCAAATCGATTCACCCAAGAAGATGGTCGACGAAAAGAGGTGAGATAGACATGCAAACATGACCAACATCTATCTATATACCACCTACGACCGGGATCTACAGGGTGAAGACCTGGGTGAAGACCTGGTAGATCTGTGTCCTTTCTTGGCCGAACTTCTCCCACCGCTGAAGAGCCGTCCTTCTAATCACGAACGGAACACAGTGGAACAGCTGGCACTCTCCCACACTCGACACCATCCACACCAAAGCAGACCTCCACACGAAGCAGGCAGTGGTGCCCAAATAGATAGAAAATGACACTGGCACGGTGTCCAAGACATTCTTAGTGCAGATGTACTTTTCTATCTCATTTGGAGGTCTATAGTCAGTTAAACTCCAACTGGACCGTCAACCTGTTAAACAAACCCGTTGAATCTGGAAGATTCAGGGCCCAAAAATTGCCCAATCAGCTGGATGGAGCAAACCTGATGGGTGGAGCATGGATGGAGCATTTTTCAGGAGAAACACCTATAGTTTGGCCCGTTTGGCAGTCTTCAACCACCTTTCTTTTTGGCGGACATCCCAACATTCATCCGAAAAGTTGTCTTCACCCCAACATGGACCTCTCCCCAAACATCGCGCCCTTTCTCAATCGCAAGACGGGAACGCCTTCAGTTTCTCCTCAAAGATGTAGGTCCACATCCGCTCCATGTCTTCCTGAAAACCCGCGGCCCGCGGCCTCGCCCCGAAAACCTGCGGCCCGAACTCGGGTCGATCCATGTCTTCCCACCGAGAAGTCGCGTGCGGAGTCAATGCTTTTTGTCAAACCGGTGCTGGGGCGGAGCACGGCGCAGCACATGGAGAAGGTGCGGGTCGGGCACCTGACCCCGCATGGAAAAGAATGGAAATGAAAACAAACACACATAAAACCATATAAAACCGGGAGTTTCAAATGGGTGCGATCCATGGAGGAAGTCGGGGTGCCCAATTACCCACTCACTGGATGGGACTAAACATCTTGTGACCCCTGGAAGTGATGTTGAAAAGATATGTGCATCTTATTGATAGTCACGGTTTGAGATAGCGAGGCCTGCTCCCTCGCGTGCCCCTTCCTCCGATCTGGGCGGATGACTCGCGGCCAGTCTGCTGGATCCGTGCAACATCACGTGGTTTTACGTGTACCAGGGCCGGTCTCCAGGGGTGTCTGCTATAGCTCAGAGGTATCCAGGGGTATCCATTAACCACCCTGTGGGGTAGAGGGGGCCCGGAGAGGACATGTGCAACTTCATGGTTCTGAAGTTGCACGCTCGTGCGCTCGTGCCAAAGCATGATGGTTTCGGTGATGGTTTCGGTTGGATCCCTTGGGTCTCTTGGGTCCCTTGGGTTCCTTGGGTCCCTTTGAGGCAGTTTTTGGTCCCTTGGGTCTTTCAAGATTCTTGTGTCTCTGAGAAGCTTGGACATGCCAAACCTCATGTCTGGCTGTCAAAATCAACTGATTCTGGTTGGTTGCAACGTGCCGCAAGGGTGCCTGTGTTTAACTCTTGCAGATCCGTCCCGGATCCATGATGGGCGGCAAAAACCATCTGTCACAACAAGTGGGAGACATACAGAAAGCTAAAGAAAGGCTCTTCCAACACTCCATCTTGATGCGACTCCACCACCCCCACCCATTCTCCAAGATTCAAAAGACTCGATCTCCCCGTTCTCCATGGGATAGCTGATGGCCAACTGGCGAGCTTGATGTCTTTCGGTTGAGGCCAGGCGTAAACAACTTGGAGCAGTTAGGATCAAAAGTATCCAGTAAGGCAACAATAGACACGGAGGATTGGCCGGACAGGAAGCATTCACAACAGACTCCGCACTCTGCGTTCAATGCCTGACACAGTCGAGAGAAACGAACCTTGTTTCCAAGGGCGTTGAAAGCTCTATCTCCACCGTCTTGCAAGGCGTTTGTCAAGACTTTTGCCAAGAATAATGCGTGGGCATGGATGCAAGGATGTTGGCTTTTCATACCTCGGGCTGGCATCTTCAGAAAAGAAAAAACCAAGGTTGTGTCCGAGGACCATGCAAGGGGTGTTCAATGGTCAACCGTTTCACGCTTTTGATGACCATTGCCTGCTAGCATGAGTATTGACCAAGGTGGCGTTTAGTTTCAGTCAAGCATCCCAAATATGCAATGGAGAGAGGTAGACCGAGAGGATGCTTTAGATCAATAGAGGGACAAACGAAGGAATAGGAGAGATGAGCGCATGGATCAATGTTCGGAAACCACAGATGGATGGAGCTTGAATATGTTTCCTTTGATTTCACATCTCAATTGTCTTGGGTGTTTGGATTGTTCCAGGATCATTAATGCAGCTGTATCGTAAATCGCGCAGCCAAGAAGTGCAACGAGGGAGACACAGACTACCCAGTGTCTGCCAAGGACCCTGAACAAAAAAACATGAACCGGTCACTGGGGACAAGAGGAGTACTCCACCAGCACAATTCATGTCCGAAAGCCTTGCTCTGCAGCTGAGGGCTGATCTGGTCTCCGAAGTAGAAGTCCTGCACGGGTGGCTTTGACCAGGAATCCGTCCGCTTTGGTGGACCATTCCAGAACTCGGATATACCTGGATCTTCCAACTCTGCAAAATGTCTCCCTTTTCCATCTATAAAAACCAGCCAAGCTCTTCAGAAGTTCTTGCAGGAAGATCCAGGCAGGGTGCACAGGCATTGACATACGGGGCTTGGTCAAAACCAAAGATCTTCCGGGACTGTCCGTTGGACCAGGCGGTCCCAGACAAGTCGACAGGTCGACATTTTGACGCGAGCACATGCGATTGTGCAGTGGGAAGATGTGTGGGGACCCAAATGAAATCCGGACGCATCCGGACCATCATCTTTTCACGTTGAATCCTCCTCCTCCAATCGACCCAAACCGTTCACCGGTTTCGGCCTCCGCGGCGGAGGAAGAAAAAGCGGGGAGATCCGGAGAGTCTGAGGTGTGGGATTTCGGCCTTTCACGGAGCGTGGGTCCATCAAACCACGAAACAATGACCCAAACCGTCTCTCCCACCGAAGTCTGCCAACTCGCGAACTGAAAAACAAAACCCTCGCACCTGCTCAGCAGGTGCCCTTCCACACTCTGTGGGGTACCGGAGGGTTGTACCAAACAGACACAGGAGCAGCTAAAACATGCAGCCAAGGAAACCAACAGAGTCACCGCCGCGGGCGCGCTGAAGCGCTCGCCGCAGGCGGAGGGACTCCTGAAGGGGGTGCCCCTTCTGCCGACTCCTCTCCTGGGCATGGCGTGGGCATGCCAGGAAGAGGAAGCTCTAGCATTTCCGATGGTCGAGGCGGATTTTAGGATAATCAAGATGTTTTACGCCCAGTTGACCCATTTGGTGGATTTCTATATATGCAATCTCCTGAAAACAACACTTAAAGTTCGATATAGATACGTGCTAAGTTGAAAAGACATGGTCCGACCATTTTCGTTCCACTTTCCATGTAGGCTTCTGGAAAGTATCACCTGTATGAAACATGCCTGGAATGAGTGGTGTCTTTCTTCTCACGTGAGAAAAGATTCATTACTCATTCCATGACATGCAGGTACTAGTTTTCCTGCTCTGCAGCTTTTACCTTCTCGAGTGCGGGAAGGTGCTTAACTAACCGAGGCTACATGGTGGGGTGGTGAGTCCCACCAGCTGAGCAAATCGAGAAGTGTACCAAGAAAAAATGCATTTAGCGCGCGCTCTGCACTTTCATTTGACCTTGTAGAACAGGCTGGCAGAATGCGCGTCCGGTCTGTTGAACGCTACATTTCCCTGGGAAGTCCAAGAAGCCCAGTCCAAGAAGCCCAGCTCACCTTCTATCAAAATCCCAAGTGCTGCAAACGCCCAACCCCAAACGGCATCGTGCCCAAGTGAAGCGGCCAGCCGAACTTTCGGGGGGCCTCAAAGCAACTCTCCGAGCGCTTTTTTTCCGTAAGGAAAACCATCGGACTTTGCGACCTCTGACTCCGGAGCGGGACGATCCCGCTAAGAACGCATGAAGTGCCTCTCACTCTGACGAACGCCATCACATGGTTACGTGGATGGTGGATGGCCTGTTGGTAGAGGAAAGTAATGGAAAGTCGCCTTCCAGGGTACCATGTTCATCCGAGTTCCATTTCCGTGGATCCGTGAGTCAAAGGTTCACGCAGCGAACAACACCGTTCCCACCGTTCCCTCGATCTGCCAAATCGAGTTGTTCGACTTGCCCCCCCACTGACGCGGGGCAAACTGGGTCAAACGGGCATATCGTTGAGTGGGGCAAACCAGTTTCCCACAAAACAGATGAAAGTTTAGGGGCTGTACCCACCACACCTTTTCCGTTTTGGGACATACCGACCAGTTGAAGGGTTTGGGGTAGGACCTCCATGTATAATACCTCCACATGCCCTCCAAGCTGGAACGCCCTCCGCCCTTCATCTTCAGGCCTTCCAGACGTTTCGGGGACGGCCGATGATCTCAGGGAAAATGAATTGAGGCGTCTCCTCAGTTGAGAAGCCCACCTGGCAGAGCCACATGCCCTCACCCTCCACCAGGCCGGGTTCGCCCAACCAGGGTTCGGGTTCCTTGACCTGGCTGGAAAGAGGTGAAGGGGCAATCATGTAGACTCTTGAGGACTATCAAGAGTCTACATTGCTTACAGGTCACACAAAGATCATCGGTCGTTTCGACGCATCTGGCTCTGCCCGACTTCCTCACCCTGCTAGCTTGACATCCGCGGCTAGTCTATTCTGTGCATGTGGTCAACCAAGGTGTGTCCCCGCTTTTGACCGATCGCCATCTGGAAAAACTCATATATCCAAGCGATTGATCAGCTGTATGAAAGTTCTTCTCTTTTTTCTGTTTCAGTGCTTGAGCTCAGGGAGTTGTCGGCCTTGTCAGGCAACACGCCGGGAAAACATGGTGTCAAACGCAGATGGAGTACCTTGAATCAAGTGCATTTGATTGGTTTCATCATGTTCCGTCCCAGCTTCACAAATTGGAGGCCCCGCCGCCCAAAGCATTCTGAAACCCGGCCACATCGGGCCTTACAAAGGCCGGAGCCATTGTCAATTATGATCACCGTGTCCTGGCCGATGGAAGCTTTGATGTCCGGGGCTTTCGCGGCTGTTGGCCGTTTTCGGCACATGAAGAGAATGTGGCATGATCAGAGCAACCCCCCCGAAAGGAAACAACACGCTCACTGCCAGGCTGACTAGGGTGTTGTGACCGTTGTCTCAGCTTTGATTGGCAAGTTCGAAAAACAATTGCAAACATGCAACAAAAACTAAACAGGTCCTTTCTCCCTCCCCCAAGAATGCATCCAAGGGCCACCGGGCCACTGGTGCAGCTGCGGCATGAAACAAGAGATTTCAAGGGAGCGGTGCCGCAGCTGCCGCAGTGCCCTGGGCCCTCAAGTTCACCCCACAGTCTCCATCGCATCGGCTAGACCAAGACCAGAAAATGATGGAAATGAGGTGTCTCCAAAACAAATGTCTTCACCTGCAAATATTGCAAACAAAACGGTGGAAGGGGAAATCGACTTCTTGATCAACTGATATGGATGTCTTGTAATAGCTCAGCACCAGCCAATGGGTTTTAAGCAATTAGTTCTTTTGCCAGGGCGTCTGGCTCAGGTCTCCCTATTCCTATTCCTATCCCAGCCATCCCACTCTTTGAGACCTCTCTTCTACCACTGCTACCCTCCCAGCAATCTGGGCTGCGGCGTTCGCTCCGATACTCCCCACCACGGGTGCTGCGAAACCACTCCCCTGACTTCCATCGAGGACGACGATCGAACTGGGCACGAGCTGAGGCTCGCAAAGCTCGAGTCAGTGCGACTGGAGTCAAACGTCCCAGTAACTCGGGACATCGAGCCTTTCTGTCAGGACCATGAATTAAGTCAAAACCGATATCAATTCTTCAACCAGACCGAACAAACTGGTCAAACCAGTCTCGTTGGTTCTTTATATTCAACGGCCAAACTGCTCGAGCAACCGGAGCAACCTGGCACCGCTTCCGAGGGTCCGAGCTCCGACGTGCCGAGGTAAAACCCCCATTCGGTCGGCCAGGAGTGGGAAGTCGACGAAGGGTGAAACCTCCCAATCATCCGAAGGGTTTGGGAGCTTTTGGGTTAGAGGTGGTGTTCGTTTTTCTTGTTCTCGAAGTGCTTTTTTCCACGCTTTCGATATTCTTTGTTGAAGGTCGCTGCTCCCGATGTCCGAAAAAAGACTCACAAACATGTCCTGGCTCTGAAGAAACCAAGAGCCTCACAAACATGTCACTTGGGAGTGACTTCTTGAAAAGAAACAGTGCGCCTCCACCTCTATCAGTTCTTCTTCTTCACCTGCGGTGGAAAGCAGGGTTTGCATCGTTTTTTTCCATTTGGGTCATGGTGTGCAATCGACCGCGCCAGGGCATCGCTACGAACGGAGCAAACGGGTTTGGAAAAATCAGCGGTGGCGAAAACCCAGCCCTATAGGCCCTTTATAAGGGGCCTCTCTCTCTCTGGTGGCGGGGATGTCCGAGCGATCAAGAGTTCGAATGAGTTCACCAAATATAATCAAGGCACCGGGTAGGTTAAACAAAGAACGGATTAAGAATAATATGAAAACATGTTCAATAGACGTTCAGTTCCGTCTTCTTCTCAGTCTTGCCGTTTTTTCTGGTGGGTTTTTTCGGGGTCCTCCGCACTCCACTTTTTGGTGGTCCTGTTTGGAAGTGAAAAAGATCCAAGTGGCCAAGCGGGAAGATGCATCTTCACTTTTGGGAATGATGAGTTTTTTGGCTAGACATGATGATTCTACATGCAAAGAACCCAGTCCTGGACTCCAGTCCCAGAAAAAGAAGAAACCGTGCCTATGGCACCGCCGGTTCTTTTTTTGGGGGGTTCGACTTATGGGATAATGAAGAACAAAAACCTGCACTTGACAGCCAAGACATGCCAAGACCCTCCGAATGCCTCGGTGCCCGACACATGAATTCCGCGCCCTTTGATCCAACTCTGTCAGGCGCTCTGTCAAGCGCCAAACCCGTGCACGAAAGCCCGCGCCGAATCGATCAACATGCAGAACCCGTGGATCTGACCGAACGGGAAGAAGATCCAGGGGGGGTCGGGGATCCAACCCAGCAGAAGTTCTGAAGAGCGAGCTTGCGCGTCCAAAAACCACGGACGGCTCGAAGCCCACGCCTTCTTGCCAGGCTTCAGCATCCTAGGGGGGCGAACCGGACTGGACATGATCTTCGTTCGTACCCGACTTCAAAATGGGACATGAATCTTAAGGACGCAAGTACTTGTACCCATTTTGCGAGGTACGAACTGAGACTCCAGGTACAAAATGTATTTTGGCATTCAAATGCCTTTCATTTCCAGTAAGAGTAAGAAGTACCCTGGATGAATCAGGGATGCAGCATGGATTTTTCCCCAGCCTCCATAATGATTTGGATTGGAGGGATTCCCATTTGATGAATCAAGCAATGCCCTTGAGCCCTTGTTGAGTTGTGCGACTTGTGCTTTGTGATCCCGTGAAATTCAGAAGTTGCACAAACACCATGTAATCAAACGCAACGCAGTTATGCTATATGCTTATGATGCGAAACCATTTCAACCCGAAGGCCTAAAAAAATAACGATGAGGAAAAAGGCTGGCAAGTTCTGGTATTTGGACCCGCGAGCATGTTACCATCTGGTTCTTTGAGGCTCCAAGTCTCAGACTCAGCAACTGCAGCACACCAAGTCGGCCTGGTTTTAACTCGAAGCTATAGAGTCTAACTCTGGTGACCGTGGTTCCTTGCTTGAGCGCGTTTGCCTGCCTGTTTGGTTGATTCATGCGTCCAAACGGGCGTACAAACAAACGACCCTCGCCCATCGAGGTGTCCCACTTATTGGAGGGGGCAAGACTGGGATTTCAAGTTGGCTTTGATGGGTGAAAGTCTTTCGAAACACAGGGCTGTTCTGCTTCTGCTTCTGCTTCTACTACAGCAAGACCACCAAGACTCTTGGTCAGTGCATGTGAGTGAATACAGGAGACCTACAAGTAGCACCAAAGGTATACCTATACTGTTCACGGAACGCGTGACGCTCTGAAACCCTTCGATGGCCCCTCTCCTGCCATTCAGACTCCGCCCAAGCCTGACAAGGAGCGGGTGGGGTTCCACGTGGAACCATCGGTCGGGTCAGGCAGCGATCCAAGACATGTCGCGAGCACCGTGGCTCCCTTGCCGGAAGCTGTTCTTCTCTTTTTGTTTCTAAAACAGTGAGGGAATTTGAAGTAAACACCTTCCTGTCGCAAAAATCCACAAGTCACTGTGTTCTCTCTCTCTCTCTCTCTCTCCTTGACACCATCATTTGGGGAAAAGAAAGCTTCACCTAACATCGGATTTGACCAATCCCTCCAACAAGGCTATCCACGGATGGGGTAATGGCTTCCTGTCTTTTTGCTCTACCAAAGCAAACCCTAGGTGCGACGAGTCATCGCACCTCCTCCGCTGCACCAGTCTCTCCCATGGCGTTAAAACAACGAAACGGACTGCGAGTTCTTCCGGTTTGACCGGTTCTCCCGCCCGGTTCCAGGGAAAAAGCGGAATCGAAACCGCTGTTCGATCAACGAACAGACTTGTCGTTCGGGAGATCATGTTGAACTTCAGGAGAAATTGATGGAGATCGATGTGCCATGGTCTTTGGGAGGTCGGTGGGATTGGTCTTTTGGGCCTTGCAAAGACCGATTGGCTTCCTGTGTTTACATTGGAGTGAAGCGGTTCAAGCTACCTGGTACCTTTGTCATAGGTGTTCAAGTTCATGTCGTCGATGGGCGGTCTTTCGGAATATGAGAATACGAGCTGAAAGAAGATCTGCAGCATCTGTCCATTCGATTGGAGAGGTTTTGATGTGCCTGGCACCTCATGGCACAAGCACTAGCACCTTAGAACTCACATCATCTGAGCATCCCGGTGCCTACCTGGCGGACGGGTCAGTGCCCTACGCGGAAAAAAGAAATGGTGGACTGATCGTTGTCATGACCTGCTGAGCCATGACCTGCTCAGATGAACCTGCTCGTCCTCGCAGCAATCAATAGGATGCGAAACCACTATCCCTGGGAGTCGAGTCGACCAACGTACCAAAACGGTCTGATCCAGTGATCCGAAAAGGAATTTCCTTTGCTTGGGTGGGCCCAAAAATCGTCTTTGGACTTCTAGGGACTACCCATTCACCCAATAATTAAGCACTGTCACTGTCTTCATCTTCATCTCATGACGATGTTGGCTGAAGTGGCAGCGAGGGCCGAGCGGTTTGGGTGAAAATGATGGCGATATAGAATAGTACCAACAGTCCGCCCTAGGATTCCAGTCCAACCAACCTTGATTTAGTGGCTTTGATACTGTTCTTTTCTACTGAACATCCATTGGTGTTCACACTATAAAACCACCCAGGACCTTCAGTCAGTGACCTGGAATCAGTGACCTGGAATGAGATCCAAAAGTCTGTTCGGTTACCCAAAGGCCGAGTTCGAGGTTACTCCTACATCACTCACAGCTTCGTTTGGTGTCCAGATCGATGATCGGCACGTGACTGAGCGCCACATGCACCATGTAACCTTTAAGATCCGCTTTAAGTGTCTGAGATGTTCGAACTGCTCACTTCTCCATCCATTCATCGAAATCCAAACTGCCCCGTTCGACACGGTCAATCCCTCAAGAACATGTCAAAGAACTTCGTGCCAAGAACATGTCTCGTTCCTCTTCGAGGCGACGAGTGCATCTGACACCATCTGACGCACCAAGTGGTCATCCTCGTCTCAGGTCCCATCCACGACTCCGAATCGGCGCCAGAGCGGCGCCCCGGACGCGTCTTCGGACGCACGGCCGGACGATGTTTTTCGATCGGCACAAGAGAAGGGGGGCTGATCGAGTTGCCTCCCATTTTGGGGGCAGAAGATGATGATATGGAGAACGAGAATGGATGAGTTTGTTGAGTCGTGTCGACGGGGCGGGGCGAGTCCGTGTCACAGAAACCACGGCTGTCCGTGAGGCTGGCGAGCTGGGAACTGCGGTCACAACCCTGAAAAGGCACGTCTGCGTGAGGGGGTGACCTGGTCGTCACAAGCCCTGACCGCACTGCGGTCGACGGTGAGCGTGAGCGCGCGTGGTGCTCGTGATGATCTCGGGGCACCCCCTTTTGCAGGGCGGCTGTGGGATGAACCCTGAGGACATGTGGTGGTATCGATACGTCTGATTAAGCAGGTCTTGCTGGATCGGCCAATTCCTCACCTGGTCTCTGGCTGTTCCATGTGCTTCAGGGTGATCTGTTTGTCCTCTTTTCACTGGGGTCCTCTATTCAGTGATGTCTCTTGGTGAGTGTAAGCCATGTCGGAAGAATCTCAACAAATTGAAACTGCTGGTCTCCCCTGAGAAAGGCTTCCTGTTGACCATTCATAAAAACGGTGAACCTGGCGTTGTAACATCCTCTGAGACCAGTGTACTTGCAAGGTTTTTGGGAGGCCCCCGCGTTGGCGCGGGAACGGATTCGTCGGGAGGTTCCCTTTTTTGGCTCGGTCCCCAAGGATCTGGGGGAGACCGTGTCAGTTGTGCCGCCTAGGGCAACAGGATGTCTTTTTTGGACTATCCCTCTTGGACTTGCGACTGGGAAATCTGTGACATCGCTGTCTCCACATCGGAAAGACTTGCCCCAATGGGGAAGATGGAGGCAAATCAACCACGATTGGTCTCTGAAAAGCTTTTCCAATTGGACCCAGATTTCATGGTAAAGACTGAAGCAACAATCCTTTAAAATGATCACACATATAGGTTTATATTAATATATGTTTTCTTTTATATGTGTGTGTAACCTTTGGAGTCACAAGGCTCCTTTTGGAGTCTTACCCTTTACAGCAGGGGACCAAGTCAGATACATCGTCGCCTGGTCAATGAAGCTGGCGACGTATCTGAGGATATGGAAATGGGACACCATTTCCACGTACCTGCTCCACTATTTTTAGGAAAACAGAAGGAAATGGTACTCGACACACTTGTGTGTCGGTGCCTTTCCTTCTGTTTTTCCTCTCTTCTACCCTACAGGTTTGCAGGGGTAGGCATCCAAACTTGTAATGTGGTCCTTCAACCTGAATTCTTTGGCCTCTACCCACTAGCATTGGCCTCTAACCTTGGCTGTCTTGTGTTTCTTGTGCTTCTTGTAGACTTGTGGCACTGGCCTCCAACCTGGTACTATGGCCTCGAACCCACTAGCGACGACCTCCAACCTTGCTGCTCTCTGTTATTGCTTGTGCATAGTACCTACCTACTAGCGATGGCCTCCAACCTTAGGTGTTGGCACCAACCTCCTTGCGATGGCCTCCAACCTCAAAGCGATGGCCTTTAACTTACTATTTGACCTCCTGGTATCTCAGGTTTTTTAACTCAGGCCGGCGTGTGGCAACCGCTTTCAAGTCAGTACGCATGTGAATAAGTGTGTCTCTCCTCGTGAGAGCCCAGGGTGAACCCGCAGAGTTAGTCTTTGTTGCTGCGCCCGGGACCAGAGTAGTCCGCAGCGGACAAAGTAGGCTTAGGCCAAAGTTATTTGCCAAGACTTGCCGAACTATTGAATTCTAAGCTGGCTTATGCCTCTACGTGACCGCAGCGGTCTGAGCAGCCAGCCATTTTGGCACGGCGTACGTGGCCGCAGCGGCCGAACGCGACCTTTGCCCCTTCCTCCTCCCCTCCCCTCCTCTCTCCCTTCTTTGTCATCTTGGGGTGTTCCTGAATGTAATACTCAGGTTCACCCCTCTCTCACTGGTGTGTCCCTGGACGCTTGTTCGTAGCTGGGAACACCTGCCCTTTTCCTTCCTCTTTTCTCCCTCTCTCTCCCTCTCTTTCTCTCTTTCTTTCCTTTCTTCACCTTCCTTCTTCCTTGGGTGTCCCTGGATGCTTTCGTCATAGCTGGGATCCCTTCGAAGGTGTGTCCTTGGACGCTTGTGTCGTAGCTGGGAGCACCTTAGTTTCCTCCTTTCTCTCCTTCTCTTTTCTTCCTCCCCTTCCCCCCCTCTTTCTTCGCGCGTGGCGTGCCTACAAGCAAACAAGGCTTCTGCAACAGGTTTCTCAATGAGGTTTGGCCTGTCATGGGTTTGTCCCCTTTCATTTGGTTCCCACTTCATCCTGCCTGGAAAGGGGGTTATGCGAAACACATGTGCACGCAAAAGAGACAGATGAAAATGAGAAAGACGAGACAGACAAAAAGTGTGTGTGGTTGCCGATGAAGAAAACCAAGTGAAGAGGGACAACCGATGAGCCGAACCTCATTGTAACAAACCTGGGCCACCTGAACCTCGTTGTAAGTAGAATACGCGTGCGTGTATGTGTACAAGCTAAGGTCCGGACGCAAGTGCCCGCAAGAGAAGGAAAGGATGAGGATGAAGAGACATGAAGACAGAAAGACATGAAAGAAAAGAAGGGAAGACGTTTGTGGGGGCCAATCCGGGAAGGATGGAGGCCACACATACCTCCTTTCGGGTGTGTGTGTGTAACCTTTGGAGTCACAAGGCTCCTTTTGGAGTGTTACCCTTTACAGCAGAGGACCAGGCCAGATACAGCGTCGCCTGGTCAATGAAGCTGGCGATGTATCTGAGGATATGGAAATGGGACGCCATTTCCACGTACCTGCTCCACTATTTTTAGGAAAACAGAAGGAAATGGTACTCGACACACTTGTGTGTCGGTGCCTTTCCTTCTGTTTTTCCTCTCTTCTACCCTATAGGTTTGCAGGTAGGCCTCCATACTTGTAATGTCGTCCTTCAATCTGAATTCTTTGGCCTCCACCCACTAGCATTGGCCTCTAACCTTGGCTGTCTTGTGTTTCTTGTGCTTCTTGTAGACTTGTAGCACTGGCCTCCAACCTCCTCCAACCTTGCTGCTCGCTGTTACTTTTGTTTTGCTTGTGCATAGTACCTACCACCTACTAGCGACGGCCTCCAACCTTAGGTGTTGGCCCCAACTTCCTTGCAATGGCCTCCAACCAAAAAAGCGATGGCCTTTGACATACTACTTGTCACTTTGTTTTGCTTGTGCCTACTACCTACCACCTACTAGCGATGGCCTCCAACCTTAGGTGTTGGCCCCAACCTCCTTGCGATGGCCTCCAACCTAAAAGCGATGGCCTTTAACTTACTATTTGTCCTCCTGGTATCTCAGGTGTTTTAACTCAGGCCGGCGTGTGGCAACCGCTTTCAAGTCAGTACGCATGTCAATAAGTGTGTGTGTGTCCACCCCTGGAAAAAGGGCTCCTTTCACCATTTCCATC